AGTGAATGCTACACAGTGAATACTACACAGTGAATACTACACAGTGAGTGCTACGTGTATACACAGTGAATGCTACACAGTGAATGCTACACAGTGAATACTACACAGTGAATACTACACAGTGAATGCTACACAGTGAATGCTACACTGTGAATGCATTGCTGCAGTGGAAAATAGAAAACAGTTTCAAAACATCGTGTGAACCATCAAAGGTATGCCGACAGTCAACCAACGGTAGATGTGGATTCATGCAACCTTGCTGTTACTTTGTACCAAACATGAAGCGGAGAGATGGCGGAGAGATGGCGTACAGTCTGCAGACAGCGGTACATTTCACCGGCAAACTGCATTGCAATCTGAATCATTACAAATATAAAAACCTGGGCGTCATTTTAATTTTGTTTGAAATAAATAATTTGTACATGTTTCCCAAATAACGAGATGTTTGTTTCATCTTGAAGGGACAGTATTATATTCTTATTACTTATTATAGTAATAAGGTTATTACAAGGATACCTCAAGGTATGCACAAAGACAGTACAAGCGAGAGTATCAACCGACCTGTAGCAGAGGTTCATGCGATAGTGTACTGTCTGAGTGCATACTTTGAGGTATCCTCGTAATAACCTTATTATTATACATCTTTTTCTTCCAAGGATACATCATGGGAATGCCGAACAGAATCAGCGAACTTCTCTGTATGAAGTCCGGTCAAACCCTAGTGGTTTGTTTTTATTATTAGAACTTACACGCTTAAACATTCCATATTTGGGATTCGCATTTTCTAATATGGTAGGATGAAAATTCCCCATAAAATACAGCAAAATTACGGCACGCTGTAACTTATGGCGTTACGGTGACAGATGTATAATAATGTGACAGAACCCCACACCCTCCCCATGGCTTTCTTTGCGTAGAGAAGTTAATTTCATGAGTAATGAGGTGTATCCTCCGGCCGTACTTTCACAAGTAATGCCGCAACATCGCCAGCAGAAACCTCCTGATACCTCGATGTGGTCAACACATACTAAGTTCTCCCAATCGTAATTCCATGTGATGTAAACCTAAATGTGCCAAAAATGTTGCTGAACGATTTGAACCAGATACAAATAGAAGAGGAAATTTTTTTTTTACAAAATAAAAATAGTTGCTATTGGGAATACCATGTTCATTTGCATATAGACCGTGAAAATACC